GGGGGGGGGGGTTGTGGTGGGGGGGGGGGGGGGGGGGGGGGGGGGGAAGGGTTTAGGGCATTGTTTACTGTGGACACACCTCTCTATCGCAACTCTCGAGTACAGATTTGGTGGGGCTGCAAAGGTGTAGGAGTCTTGGGAAGTTTTGGAGGAGCAAGCTGGCAAAGCTAAGGAGTGAAAGCATTTTGGCCATCCCTGTAGTTAGGGTGACTGTCTGGGAATTTCTAGGAAATTCCTGAAACGAATTATGACAGTGGACCCAAGCAGTTCTCCAGTCCTGGCAGTTTGGGCTTGGTCAGGTTGAGTTTCCAGAAAGATATTTCAGAGGCCTCTTAAAACTGACCTATGGTTAAACTGTATAGCTGCCAGTGAAGTACCAGGGGCTCCTACCTTTTTGCTTACCCCACTGCATCCCCTTTTCCTTCCCACAAAGGATATAAAACCTGGGTTTCTTTCTTCATTTGATTTTGCCCAAATTGGTTTTTTGGTTTCTGTTACGTAGGTATTACATGGCTAAAGAGACTTTTCTCCCTTTACTGAGAAAAGAGAGGACAAATTTTGTTATGAAGTAAACAAGCAACACAAGACAGCTAAAACTCTCCAGGGGCAGGTAAAGCCTTGCTGAGCTCAGGAGCACCACATAATTTGTCATACACACTGAAGTGGGCCTGTGTTGCACAGGAACCTCTTCGTCCTCTAGAGAGCAGAGGTCTCAGCTCTTAATTTGCTTCATGCCTCAACTTAAATAGGTAGCTAACACCTAATCAGTGGAATAGTCTGACTGCTGGTACTGAATGCATTAGAAAACTTAAAAGTCAAGAAGTAGTGAAAGCACTATATTCTAGCCATTAACTCAACTGAGCCAGTCTCCCTGAACTCTGCCACGTGCTCTTGGGAGCATCCACAGGTCTCTAAGGTACAGATGGGGACCTCTAATAGGAAAGAATTTTGGTTGACTTGACAACATACCCTTAGGAAAATACGCTAAGAGGCCAAGGAAACATTAACCCTCTTTACTCTAACAGGCCTCAAAATGAGTCACTTAGCAAGAAAAATGTAGAATGGTAGCCCACCACCATTGAGACAAATTTTTGCCTTCACGTACTTTTTTGCCTTTAAGCAACATCTCAGACAGTACCTGGACTCCAGGTGAAGGCACTGGATGCCTGCAGTTAAAATTTTCTGAGGGAAATCTCATAAAGCAACCAATGCCTTGACCACTTGACCACCTCTCACTAGTGCAAGCCAAGGCTTTATGAGGTCACAGAACCTGCCATGTCTTACCAAAGGAAGTGATTGAGAAGGTCTGGGGAAGAGAATGAAGGAGGAAAGTCACACAGCAGGGTGGGGCTCTTCACCAAAACTCAGCAGTTCTTTTTGGGGCCAGAGGGCAAGGGCATCCTTGCCTAAAGAGTGGACAAGGAAAAGGCTGAAGTATCTTCTGCACTCCAGTTTTCTAGCATGTTTCCTTTTACTCGGCTGTCTCAGAAAAGTGGGGAGGTGTCTTCTGGGTCCTGAGTACCCACTATATGAAGGACAGGTAACACAGTGAAATCTTGGACTTACACACCAAGGCAGCTCTGGCATGTGACTCAAGCATTTGTTGAAGATCTGCAGGAAAAACCCTGCCATGTGCCTTCAACAAGACAAGGCCCACTCCTGCTTCTGGTAGTACCAACTACCCTGGAATGGTGCAGGTGTGTCCTGTTGTGCCCCTGACTGACTTGCTTAGATACCTGGCAGCGATAGCCACACCTCAAGTAGAAATAGGCAAATAAACATGTTTAACACTTCCTTGTGTTAATGTTTTGTTATGAGTGTGCTTGTTTTCTCAGCACCAGCTAAAGTCCAGTGAGCAGTACTTCCCCAGACACTTTTCCCTGTTCATTCCAAGTCTCTGAGGTCTCTCAAAGATCTTTCAGTGTCCTTATGGACAGGCATGTGCTCTCCATGCAGCCTGCATTGAGCCCCAGACTCCACAAAGCGCCTCCCTCAGATTCCAGCTGTCACCTGTGCTGCCTTGTGCTGGCTGGGGTAGTGAATCAGACCTGGAGGATGGCATAGCTGGCAGAATCTGCAGTTTCTGGTTATTTGGGGGCACAATTCTCTTATCAGCTTCCATTTTTGTCAGCCCTGACAATGATGCTTTTTGGAACATCCAAGCTGCCATACAAGCAATTTGAAGAATGGTATTTGGGCTCTGTTCTGTGGTGACAATTGCTGTGTGCTCTGGTTTTCCTTCCTGGCCCAACACTGTTGGCCTCTAGTCTGCTAGCACTGGCCATACTAGCTTAGTAGAGACACGTGAAGGCAGGATTTTAGTATTTGTTAAGGCCACCTTCTCCAACTAGCTAGAGGATGCCTCCACATCCTTTTCCTCCCCAGCTTGGCTTGAATGGCTTGGAGCTCTAGCACTGCCCAACACCTCAGTGACTATGACCTCATTTCCCCACAGAAATACCAATTTCTCAGTGATCTCCACTTCCTCAGCATCAGGGCTAGAGGTCTAGGCACATGCTCTTACCTTACACCTAGGGAAATTGTTAGATCAGTTATCAAGAGCTCTAACCCACTGCACTCTCCTGCAGCACTGTAAAAATAGTTCAGTCCAGGGATTCAGTGTCCCCCACAAAGCTCTGGGAATGACTGCCTGTGGACATAGGTCCAGTGTATTGACACATCAGCCCTGAGTGATCAAAGGAAAAGCAAAAAGTCACAAACATCCAGGTAAAGTTCAAGAGTTAACCAAGGAAGGCTTGGCTGCCTCCAACCCTCCATTCCAGCATTTGGCCTCCAGGACCCCCTAGGAGTCTGAGGCAGGTTTGTTTCCAACACCTGGTATTCCTAGGCTGAATAAGGCAAGAAGGCAGAACGAGAGGGAGCCGGACAAACCAGTGGCACCAAGACCCCTTGGCATCAATATTGCACTGCTCCTTTCCCACGTACAAGACTACACAACTGCTGAAGACTACTTGCTGTCAAACAAGCTTTAAGATTGGGCACTTTGTCCAACAGCCATAGCTTAAACTGATGGGCACACACATCATTTAGGGCAGAAGACAAAAACTATGAGTAGCTGTTGGCAACAGACCTTAGGCTCACCCCTTCCTTAGTACGGGCTCTACTCAGGATGGTGCAGCGGGGTCCAGAGCCCAAATTGAAGTCCACTGGCTGCCATCAGCCAAGACTAAAAATGAGTGTAAGTACAGTCCTGACTCAACCTGAAAAGCTGAGGGGCTGAGGGCCACCGATGCAGCAGGACTTGTGGACACAGTGGTGCTGGAAAGATGATGTACGGCATTTAAGTGCATGCATTGGGGGAAAAGTCTTCCATTCTTTGAGAAAAAACTTGATTAAACTAGGACTCTGAATAGGATTAAAAACCCATCCTCTGACAAAGCCTTTACTGACAGCTTTCCAATACAGTTAGTCAAAAAATAAAAAAATACAGAACACAGCAGACAGTATCTTGTACACTAGAAATCAATATAACAGGAGTCCCTTCTTGTTGTTAAAAAAAAAAAAAAAAAAAAAAAATCCCCCAAAATCTAAAACTTAGTTTGGGTGGTGAACAGGACTTTGATCCCCACCAAATGAACCAAAATAACCCAGAAGAGAATTCAAACCAAGGGGTAGTAGAGAGGGGATCAGATTTTAAAATAAATGCTTTTGTGACACAAACATGGAGCTGGAAAAGACAGGTTTGGGCTAGGCAGTGTCTCTTACTATAACTATCACCATATGTTCTTCTTCTAGTTTGCCCAATGTCCTTAGTGCTGACTGGAGGTACTGCTGTGAAAAGTCGCAGGGTGGGAAGGCATAGAGCATGCCTGTGCTGTCTCTGCCCTTGGACCCACCCACTGGCAAGCTGATCACCCCTGCAGCCTGCTTCTGTTTCAAGTAGGAGACCAGGTTCCTGAGAAGCCGCCTCTGTAGGCCTGGCTCCACTGTGGGCATCCCCTCAGTGCCAGGCCCGCTGGGGGTCGCCTGGGTGGCTAGCAGCACCGCGTAACCATTGGGGCTCCCCTGCTTTATGCGTCGTGTGACCTCGTCGAGCTTGGGCTGGTCCAGTCGAAGGCGCTGGGCAATTTTCAGCTGGGTGAGCTTGCTCCCAGAAGTGTGGTCTTTGAGGAGACTGCTGATCACCCCCTGGTCCCCCTCTAGGATGTGCATAGATGTTGGGAAGCAGCTGTTTTTCAACACTAGAAGCCCGTTCCAACCCAGCTGGAGTGTCTGAGCATACTCCGAAAGATTCTTTAGCTTTTTGGTCTCATGTTTTGGCTCTTCGAGAGGCTTGGGCTCAGCCTCAGTGGTCCGATGATTGCGCTCGCTATCTCTTGTTTTCTTCCCATGGGAAGAGTCTGGAGCCTCATGGTGGTGGTGGTGGTGGCCCCGCTCCTCAGCCCCATGTCTGCTGTTGCTGAGGGAGTTGCTGCTTGACTCCTTGGTCCCTTCACTGGAGTGATTCTCCTTGCGGCTGCGCTCAGGAGTGCGGTCAGAGCCTCGCTCCAACTGCTGCCCACCACCCTTGGTCCTGCTCCGTTCCTCATAAGGGGAGTGTGTTGTCCTCCCATGGTCACTGGAAAGGCTCCTCCGCTTCCGCCTCTCTTCCCAGGGCTTGGGCATGCCACGATCCCCATCTCCCCCCCAGCGCTCACCACTCCGGCTGCGTACTGAGCGGCTGTAGCCCTCCAGGCTGTTTCGGCGGTCAGAGCTTTTACTGGGGCTGGTCCAGTCCCCTTCCAAAAAGGTCCGGTCTCGGTCTGAGTAAAGGAGGTGGGGGGGGGTCCTATCCCGCACCCGCAGATCGGCATCCAGGTTTCGGTGCCGGGTATATCCATCTGTGAGAAGCTCATAATGCACAGGGAGGGGCGAGGGCTGGTACTGCTGGGGATACCGAGTCTCCTCTGCTTTGGCAAAATCCACACGGAGCCTGCGGTCTGGACCACCCAAGGGAAAGCCCCTCATTTTAGCACAGGCGGCCTGGGCTGCGTCCAAGCTCTCGTACTGGATGTAGGCAAAGCTATCACCTTTGACGTGATCAATGGTCCGAATGCTCCCAAAGCGGTCAAACTCCCTGGCCAGAGCTGCCAGTGAGGTGTTAGGACCCAAGCCACCCACCCACAGACGAGTGGTGGGGTTGGCCTTGCCATACCCTATCTTAATGGGGTTGCGGCCAATCACCCGGCCCGACATGGCCACCTTAGCTCTGTGGGCCATGTCTAGATTCTGGAACTTGAGGAAGGCATAGGCACCGCCCTGGCCACGGGCAGGCCTCTTGATGACCACCTCCTCAATGATGCCATACTTCTCAAAGGCGCGTCGCAACTCCACCTCGGACACACTGTGATCCAGGTTCCCGATGAAGAGGTTGCGTGTGGCCCGCTGGTCATCCTCGGGCATCAGGTCCTCCTCGCACATGGCCGGGTAGCCGTAGGGGCGCCCACGGTCGTCGTACAGCCCGTAGTAGTCCAGAGCCCGCTCCCGGGAGAGTCCCACAGCGGCGGCAGCCGCCGCATCCAGGGCGAAAGCTGCGGCGGCATGGCGGGCTCGGGGCTCCCGCAAGGGTGGGGCAGCTACAGGGGACAGCGATCGCTGCTTGTACTGGTAGCCTCCATGCAAAGGCAGGTAACCGAGCGGGTCGGAGGGCGCGGGCAGCCCTGGGGGCGGCGTGGAAGCGGCGGCGCTGCTGCTGCTGCTTCGCCGGCTGCTCCCCCCGCCGCCGCCGCCGCGCAGGTACACAGGCTCTACCTTGAGCGGACGGTCGTAGAGCAGCAACTGGCGGGCTAGGGC